CCGTGGTGCAACTCGAATGGAGTCACGCCGATCGCCAGATGCACCGAAGTGTTGTAGGCGAACTCGATGTCGGGGAGGCGGTCAACCCAATCTTTCTGGTCCGGACGGATGAGCGTACAAAGCATCATTTGAGCGGTTTGATGTGCCCGCTCCGTCTGCCCGTCTGTCTGAGGATGTCGAGCCAAACTTGGTTTCATTGTTATGCCGGACTCCTGCATGAGAGCAGTCCAAAACGCCGACATGAAACGAGTGTCGCGGTCGTTGACAATGTCTTCTGGTACACCGTGGCCACAAATCCAACCAGTGTGCAGGAGGCGTGCCAGCTCGGGAGCCGTGGAGTAGTACTTGCAAGGGAGAAAACGCGCGTACTTACTCAATCGGTCCACAACCGTGAGGATGCCTTCGTGCCCGAGCCGGTCGCGAGGAAACGGACCGGTGACGTCCATGGCAATGGAGAGACCGGGTTCCCGTGGGATAGGCATTGGGTGTAACTCGCCATAGGGATTGCAGTTGCGGGGCTTGCTGCGTCGGCAAACTTCGCAAGAATCGCAATACCGAGTGACATCGGTAATGAGGTCGGGCCATCGGAATCGCTGTCGAAGCCGTGCAATAGTGCGGTTGACTCTGAAATAACCGGCGAGTCGTGAATCATGGTACTCGCCGAGGAGGCGAGTCCGAAGACGACGGTCGCGTGGGACACATAGTAAGTCCTTGCCTCTCGAGTGGAGGAGCAAGTACCCGTCGGCAATGCGGTAATGGCTGGCCGGCGGGTGATCCGAAGATAGTTGTGCATAGAGCGTGCCGAAGTCCGGATCAGACTGATATGCCCGGATGAAGTGTCGATGAAGCTCCTCGTCAAATGCGAAGGCATGATGTGTCATAGCGCAAAGATCTGGTCTTCGTGAGAGTGCATCTGCTGCGCGATTGGAGAGGCCGGGGACATGTTTCGGTGTGAAGTCAAATTGGTCGATGAAGTACAGCCATCGTCCGATCGTGCTGCTCACAGTGTCCTGTGTCTTGTAGTAGGTCAATGGATTGTTGTTTGTGACCCATGTGAACCTACGACGCCCAAGGAGGCAGTGCCGCCAGCGCTTGAGAGTCATCACGAATGCGAGCAGCTCCTTCTTCCTTGCATCATCAAGCGAGTTGATGGGAGGCACTTTGTGGCTGAAATACTCCACAGGGTGCCAGTCGTCGTCGTCGTGCTATTCCAAGACTGCACCAATGCCATAGCTGGAAGCGTCCGTAGTCACTCGCGTCGGCAGGGTGGGGTCATAGATGCTAAGGACGGGTGCCATGAGCATAGCCGTCTTAAGTGCTTGGAATGACCGGCGTGCGTCGTCATCGAATACGAATGGCACCTTTGGCGACTGTAACCTCGCCATAGGTGCAGCAATCCTGGAGTATCCAATGATGAATCGCTGATAGTAGCCCGCGAACCCCATGAATGAACGAACGTCCGTGGTGTTGGTGGGCTCGGGCCATACTCGTAGGGCCTCGATCTTGTCTGCAACTGGACGGATGCCTTGCGGCGTCACATAGTGTCCCAAGTACTCCAGCTCCTGTTGTGCGAACTCGCACTTGTCGTGGTTTGCTTTGTACTTGGCTTGTCGTAGCCTCTCCAAAACGGTGCGCAGGTGTTCCACATGCTCGTCCAAACTCCGACTATACACCAAGATGTCGTCGAGGTAGATGAGTACAAACCGATCCATCATGTGTCGGAACTCCGTTGCCATAGCCGCTTGGAAAGTGGCTGGGGCATTTGTAAGGCCAAACGGCATGACCAGCCATTCGAAATGCCCATACCGTGTCTTGAACGTGGTCTTGTAGCGATCCTCCTTGCGAATCTCGAGTTGGTGGTACCCTGACTTGAGATCCAGCTTAGAGAAGAACTGGGCGCCGCCCAATCGCTCGAGGAGGTCATCGATGCATGGGAGAGGGTCTGCGTTCCTGATCGTCTGCGCGTTGAGTTTGCGATAATCGATGCACAACCGCAGGTCCTTGTTCTTCTTCCGGACGAAGAGAACAGGAGCACCGTATGGCGATGAGCTAGGCCGAATCCAGCCTTTCTCTAGAAGGTTGTCGAGTTGTGCTCGGAGCACACTTAACTCTTCCTCGCTCATTCGGTAGATACAACCGCGCGGAGGTATGACCCCGTCCTCAAGGATGATCTCGTGGCGGATGGGTCGATCCCGTACTACCCCATGCGGGCCTTCGAACGCGTCGCTGTGGGCGTCGAGAAGTTCGGTGATGCGTGGATCCGAAGGTGAGTCCGTCGATGAAGCGTCATGGGGCGGGAGGGCGTGGAGAAAACACACCCCCATTTCCTCTATGTCGTCTATGATGATGGAAGCTCGCATGCTTGCGGCGGATACCACGTGGCAGCTGATCAAAGGATGAGGAAGAGGCACCGTGCATGGAACTAATACTCCGTTCCGATCACGAACGTGAACGGTGCGGTTGAAGAAGTTCACCGGGTGATCCTCGCTTCGCAGCCATGACATGCCTAAGATCATGTCGAATTTGGTGTCCAGAATGTCAAAGGACACCGCCTCACTTGCGTGAGGGGCAAAGTACACTAGGACGGCGTCAATGCACCGGTCAATGGACTTGTGCGTATGACCGTCTGCCAGAGTGACTTGCGTAAGTTGGGACTTCCTCCGGACACGTGGGCCAAGGCCGGCGTGTACCATGAAGTCCTGGCTGATGTAGTTGTGAGATGCTCCACAATCGATCAAGGCACTGCAGGTCGCCTCTCCGATCTGAATGCGTATGTATAGCAATGGTGCGTCGATGTCGTCGTACCGTTGCGTCTTGAACTCGCGGTCGATCTTCGCGATGTAAGCGTGAAGGTCGACAACCTCTGCTCCGACGTCTATTAACGGAGCTGGTACTGCAGCGTGCAAGTAGTCCCGCAGTTGTGCCATGAGCACATTGCAATGAGGTTTCGGCAATCGTCTGGTTGAGGAAACGGGCATCCACTGGAAGTCCGTGAACGTCAACGGGTCGAGCTCTTCAAGTCTTGACCATGACGTCGAATCCCCGGCGATAGATTGCGGCGAAGCTGCCGAATCGAGTGCCGATGGTGATGAAACCGTGCATGCGGTGGACTGTTGCACATGGAGCGGTTGGTCCAGCGGTGGAACCAAGTGGACAGCATAATCCTCGTAAGTATGTCAAGGACTTGCGACATTCGCATCCTCCCCAGATGTGCAGGAGGCCGCTAGCAAGGCGGCCGAATCTGGCGGAGTAGAAGGTGGAGTCGCCTCACCTTCCGCGGAGCGCAGTTTCCCGAGCTGAGGCGGGGTCGCAGATCCTCCTTGCCCTGATCTTGGCACAGGGAGGTCTTGTGCTTGGTGCTGTTGCACCAGTAGCAGTTGCCGTAGCGGCCGCGGACCTTGTACTTCGCCTCGGTGAAGCCAAACTTGACCCATGGAAATTGTCCTGGCTGTCCATTTCCGGCCTGCGATGCGGTTTTCGCCTTCCCATTGTTGCGGGACTTGTTGTTGCTTCGCAGCTGGACAGCAGCCACCTGATCTCCGTCACTTGATGCTGGAATGGCTGCTGGGTTATCTCCACTGTCCTGCTGGACTGCAGCGAAGTGTTGCTGTCGCGGACCAGTTCGTGCCTTCTCCACGTAGGTCGGCTGCCATGTTGATCTCTCGTGTGCAGCTGACTTGTTGGTCTTGATGATCTCTCTCGCCTTGTCGATAATCTCGGCGAAAGTGGAGTACTGCTCGCGATCACCAAGAGCGTGGCTCAATGCAGCACAGGACCTGTTGTAGAACTCACGTCTGAGATGAGTGAAAGGCAGCTCCAGATTGGGCACTGCCGCAATCTTTTGCCACTCTGTGAGCCAGTCCCGTGTTGCAGTGTTGCCCTGTGACATGGTGAACAAACGGTTGATGGCGAGTGTCGGCGCGTCATCGACGATAAACCGCTTCTTCCACAGCCGTTTCAGTTCCTCCCATGTGATTTGGTCCTTCAAGTCTGGTACGTCGACGCCGTGGGAGGTTGCCAGGTGGCTCAACCAGGTCTGGCATCCGCCCTTTGAGTTCAGGAACAGGGCGCCGATGTACGCATGCTTGGCTACCGGCAGAATCCTGAGTTGTGTTGTGAATGCTTCCCACCAGAGGACCGGATCCTGCTGCGTGTAGTCGTCGAACCTCTCCAGATTGAAAGTTGGCATCTTATACATCTTCGGATTGCCATCCCCGTTCGTCGTCTGCAGCTTCTGGACCTCGGTCTTCAATGTATGCAGCTGACTGCTGATGGTGGTGGTCGGCGCAGCGAAGGTGCTGATGTCGCCGAGCATTGCCACTACGTGGTCAACGCGGTCCTCCAGTTGGCGGCTAGAGGGTGCACTGCTGGAAGCCCCAGCAGTTGGTCCTGGTACAACCTGTTCCAGGTCCAGCAATCGGGCATTGAGTGCCCGAGTTGCATCCTCGTGGCTCTGCACTATGCGGCGGAGATGGGCCAACTCTTGATGCTGTTGCGTCAGGTCCTGGTATTGTCTCTCCAACTCTGACCGTTGGTAGTTGCAAGCATACGTGGCACTGTGACCTGGCACTGTGACGTGGCACTGCTGATCTGGCACTGTACCGAACCGGGATGCATGCAAGGGGTGGGTGGGAGGGAAAACGTAGGTAGGTAACCAACCCAACAATACTTTCCTCCGTCCTAATCAACAGATAAAATAAAAAAATAAAAATAAAAAAAGGACTACTTCCTTTTTTTTTTTTTTTGTATATATCTGTCGATTTATGATGAGTAGGATATGTCAGAAGAGTATTATGAACGAGATCTAGGCTAGGTGCTGCAAAGTTTTGGTTTTTACAAACTGCGATCTTGAAAAAAAAAAAAAATTTGCGAAATGGAGTAAAGATGCGATTTTCAGAAAAGAACGAAATCCAGTTTCTAAGAATATAGCAACCTCCGAATATGCCTAACGCAATATCGGTAGGCTTCGCAAGATTCGGTTTTCAAAAAAAAAAATTACGAGATAGAATGGAAATGCGATTTTCAGAAAAGAATAATTTCAGTTTCCGAGAATATGACCACTTCTATCGTTATCCCAATATGCCTMGAGAACGAAAATACTAACTTCAGAAATTTCAGCTATGTATGCGAAATATCAAAGAAACGAATTGCTACTATCGGGAATTTTCAGACAAAACGAAATGCGATTTATCAGAAATTTTCAGATATTTGTCACGTAAAAACGAACTACTAATATCAGAAATTTTCAGATAGAACGAAAATGTGAATATCAGAAATTTCAGATAGTTGTTGCGAGAAAAAAAAAATTCAGAGATTTGACTAAGTCCTACTTGCGTTACTAATGAGTGATCAACGGATCGCAAGCTGGCTATTTGATTGAGCGGGTCCTCTGTATGAGAGGTCCGCTCCGATACCAAACTGTTGCATACTGTAACGTGCAGACCAGAACAAGAACCGACCTTTCAATACAAAGTATTAGATAGCACAATGGAGGACTTAGATACCAGTGATCCGAACAATCAATGTTGTAATGCAGCCCTGAACATACATCATCATCATCGTTACATGGTGTGAAATGGGCCTGGCGCTTCACACAGGAAGATGGCGCCAGCCCATACCATACACAGACGAAGAGGAAGGGGATAGACAAAGAGGAGGGGGAAGATGGGAATGTCGTCAACACCAAGTCTTCGGCACAAGCCCAAATAGTCCCTCGTCGGAATGTCTGAATCCCAAATGTCAAGTCTGGATCCAATGTCGTCAAGTCTCAAGTCACAACTCTGTCTCTCTCTGTCGTAGTCTGAGAAGTCAGGTGGCGAGAGGGTGAGAAGAGAAGGTGGACTTAGAGGAGGAAGAAGAAGAACTGTCTCTCTCTCTGTGTGTCCAGTACTAACCTGTGAAGTTGGCGCCTTGATGCAGGTACCA